GTCATCAATTCCATTCCCAGTCGCCATGATCGAGCAATCGTCGGCATAAGAGACAATCGAGACTCCCTCTGGTGGTTGAGGGAGCTTTGAAATGTAAAAGTTAAACAGTAACGGGGAAACGACACCACCCTGTGGAACCCCCTGTTCTATTTTCCTCTGTTTACTCGTTTTGTCTCTAAACATTACCCACGAATGTCGACCACTCAGATAATTTGCCCACCACCGTTTGAGCCTCTGTGGAAGAGAGGAGGCCTCTATATCTTCTAGTACCGTGGAATGGCAGACGGTGTCAAACGCTTTTGACAAGTCCAACGCTACTAGAATCGTTCTCTTACAGGGACGGTTTCGGTTAAGGCCACGAGTTATCTGAGTGTTTATGGCGTTAAGTGCTGTTGTTGTGCTGTGCACTTTACGGAAACCATGCTGATGCTTCGCTGGGGTCAGGTGGTTTGTGAAGTACTAGAGTAGCAAGGCCTCGAGTGTCTTCGCTACCGGGGAAAGGAGTGTTATCGGACGATAAGAATCTCCTTTGTTGGCAGGTTTCCCCGGTTTGAGCAGTGGGACCACTCTCCCCACCTTCCAGATGTCTGGTGTGATGAGAGTGGCCATAGACAAGTTGAGGACCTCGGTTAGGTACGCCACCCCCGCAGGACCCAAATTTTTCAGCATCAGCATGCATATTCCGTCGGGACCCATAGCTTTGGAGGCTTTCGCCTTCCCGATGGCCACCTTATCTTCACCGCAAGTGAAAGCAAGGGGGGCACAGGTTGTTGGCAGTTTGTGCAGCCTTCTGGTCACTCCACGCTTGGCTTTGTCCACCATAGGATGCAGTATGAACTGCCGGCTAAAATAGCTCGCGTATCGCTCCGGGTTCGACGAAGCATGGTCGCCGAAGGAAATTTCGACTCTGTCGTCGTGTTTCGTCGGATTGGACAGCGACCTCACGGTTGACCAAAGCTTGCTCACACCAGAGATGAAGTTACAGGTCTTCAGATGCTCCTCCCACTTCTTCCTGTTATGTACGTTTACTAGTTGCCGAATCTCCGCGTTGAGATACGGGGATCTCCGGGATCGGCCTGACGAAGGCTATCACGCTCATCGGCTAGAACAGCCGCTTCGGCAGGGAAGTTTGGACGTGGGTCCGTTATACATCCTGCCGGTATGAAGCGAGCTGCAGCAGCAGTGACAGCCCTCACCGAGATGGACGTCGGTTGGTGTGGGGAGCGCTGTGAAGGTGTTTTCGGTAAACTCCGCGTAACCTTTCCAATCAGCTTTAGAAAGGTTGATATAGGTCCGGTGTTTGGCGGAGGCGAAGTCGGTGGGTTTATCTATCGAGATGACTATGGGTAGGTGGTCTGATGCTAAAGTCAGCATAGGTCGCCATGTTATGCTGTTTATCAGACCAGCGCTGACTATGGTGATGTCTGGCGAGCTACTGCAGTTACCCATAATCCTGGTGGGTGCGTCGTCGTTCATTGTGCAGAATGTCGAATCGTCTATCTGCTCAGCCAAGTCTGTTCCCCTACGATCGTTTGACAGGCTTGAGTGCCAAAGATCGTGGTGCGCATTAAAGTCACCTACTACCATACGGTTTTCACCTCTGAGGAGCGCACCTATATCAGGGTGATATCCTGCCGGGCAGCAGGTGACAGGGGGTATGTATATGTTAAATATTTCGAGCTCAACATCGCCTGAACGGATAGCGATGCCGATGCATGAACACGGTTATCTCCTCAATCTTGCTCTGTAGCCCGTTACAGTTAAATTGAAGGAGCTTCATGTGGTTCGGGAGACGTCGTGATGTGGGGTGTAAGCTGTCGGTTTATCGATTGGTTTGGTTCAGGATAGGTCTGTAGTCGTGTAGATGCGCTGCTTAGTCTGCTATCTATCTGTTTTTGGCCCATAATATCATCGGTAAATAAATAAATAAAGGAAGTAAAGTTGCGTCAAAATATGTCGCCAAATTTTGGCCTCAAAATATGACAAAGTGAAAACCAGTTTATGTTGCCCAAAAGCACAGGGCGATTCATATTAGGTATACACGTAGAGCCAATTTACACGACGACTTTGCACCCTGCGTTTTTGGCACGTTCCCTTTTAAAAAAGTCTTCGAAAATCCTCGTGCATTTACACGAGGACTTTTTCTTTGAAGCGTTTCTTGCGTATTTTTGACATTTACGCGTAAAATTTTCTTTGGTCAACTCTTTCGTCCTCATTTTTAAAGTGGAGCGAATCACGAACTCAAAGCAAAAATACGAAAAAGTGAACTCGATAAAAGCGAAACGTCAAAAAAACCCCTCGATTTCACTCACCGCATGACTTTCCACCCAGGGTGAAAAGTCATCGTGTAAATTGGCTCGTAGAGGAAAAAATTTCGGAGCAAACTTTAACTTGGTATCAGGTTTCGATACGAGTACTCCCTTTTCATACCTACTCAGTACTTGTTTCAAAAGTATTGATTCCAAATTATTTGTTATCGATCGAAAAGTATCGAGTATGTACTTGTATTTACAAGTATCAATTCATTCCTACCGGCGAGTGCCGCGAAAAGCAATTATTTTTTAATTTTCGAAGATTTTATTTTCCGAAATGAGCAAAAAAGGGGCAATATCAAAGGCGTTGGCGAAAAAAGTATACCAACCTGGTCGGGTAGTTGAAGTTAAGGTAAAGTTCTTCAATTTGTTTGCCCGGTAAGTCGTATAGTTTCCCTTTCAGGATATCGAAGATACAGTCAAGTCCCCATTTTTCTCACCTGTACAAACTCGGGGACAGCGCAAAGTAAATAAAACTCTACTCCATAAATTAGTGCAACCCGCTAAAGCTCCAGCAAATTGTTTAAAGGAGCAAGATGATTTCAAAGAAATGATTTGTAACCCTGGTAGTAGTAGGAAATCCAGACAACTTACAGATGATAAAGCACTGGTTAAAGATGATACAAGCAAGCTAAATAGATCTGGCAATCCTGAAGCTAAAGAGATGGAAAATTCGGACAAGTGGGAACCGAAAAATTGGCGTTTGATGCTAGAGAACATCAGAGCGATGCGCTCTGCAAGTGATGCACCTGTGGACACTATGGGATGCCACAAATGTTCAGACAACGAAGCCGATGAAAAGGTAAACAGTTTTTCGCACAGTTGAAGCTCATATTTCCAACCTCAATTTAATGTATTTTTGTCAGTAGACCCAAAGATTTCAAAAACTTGTTGCCCTTATGCTTTCTAGTCAGACTAAAGACGAAATCACTTACGAAGCCATGCAACGGCTAAAGGACAATCAAATGACACCCGAAATAATTGTGACCATGGAGAGAAGTAAACTTGAAGAGTTACTGAAGCCTGTGTCATTTTATAAAGTAAGCATATGTAATTTGTACGCGACTAAAAAACGTTTTACACAGCTTATTCTTGACTCAAGTCAAGAAATTTGGCTTGACAAAGTTAAGTTGAGTTGGATAAACCATCACTATGTATGTACACAATATTTTGCTAGCTGCCCATCCTTTGCACGAAAATCTTGCGTGCTTAATCGGAAAAGCACTTAAGCGAATTTTATTTATTACTTCAATTAGGATGGTATCCGAATCCCTATGAAACAAAATATTGGTGGAGGGAGCACTTTCGAATGGTATCTATACAACTGCATAAAATGATAGCCGTTTTGATTGTTCTGTGAGATGAGCAAAATAAATAAAAGTTTGTAACATAAGGGTAAGTGTAGAGCCAGTGCAGGTAAAAGAAATACTTTCTTCGATAATTGATAATAGTTGCCAATTTTAAAGGCAGGTATCGCTAATGTGCAGGTATTTTTAATGCATCCATCATAGAAGTTTCCTTACAAATGCTAAAAATAATACCGGTGATGAGTATTTTCGGGTGGGTATGTTAAATGTGCACTTAAGCATAAATGCAGCAAAGCAATATATACTGTACATACATATGTATGTATGTATAATAGTATGCATTTTTTTTTAGAATATATGAAAGTTTGAAAACTCCTTGGTAAAACAAAAAACAAAAAGTACATGAATACTTCAATAATACTAATGGACCACTAACTTCTGTTCCTATCAGCGTTATCCAGTTTTTTATGCCCTTAATTCGAGTTCTAGCTAATAGGACGAAACATATTTTTAAATAACGATTTGTGTATGTTTTCTGTCCATTTGTACTTATACGGTTTTCACATGAGGCGATTTTCCAGGCAATTTTAGAGGCGATTAGTTGAATCCAAAGTTAGCTGCATCCCAACTTCATTGGAAGGTTGAAAGGTCGTTCACACACACGTTTGTTGCTTTCAACTAAAAGTTGCCTGTAAAATCGCCATATGCGAACACCGTATTACTGTTATACTCTTTTAATGGAGTTACAGTCTAGTAGGAGTGGCATCAGTGTTATTTTTCCGTTCCCTGGACAGAAACCGAACGACTCAAATGTATTCCTGACCAGGGATTGTGTAATTTGTATGCTGTTACAACACCAGCTTTTTTTTGAACAATAACTCGCACATATGCAAAACTGTCCCATATGAAAACCGGTTTTTACCGTGCAATCCGTACACCGTCCAAGGGCTTGGCAAGGCTTCGATAATGCCCCTAATATGAGCCGTTCAGTGTTCACATCGATTAACTCCACTTTCTGAAAAAAAATCTTAAATTTAAGTGTTGTTGTTGTTGTAGCAGCATACATGTTCCGCAAAGGGTTTTTGGGGAGTGTTGCTGGAGCGACAGTCCTTGGCCACATATAAATCTGGGTCGTTCCGGTTGCGTAGACCCAACTGTCGAGGGAACGTCAGCACTTGGTATAGTCATAACCATGATAAAAATATTAGAAGGTCCCGGTGGTGTACTGTACTTATGTATGTACCTAAATAAATTTCGATACTACAGAAAACCAACATCTCCCGAAGGGGATTGTTGGTTATCTATCTTCTATCTTCTATATATATAAATGTGAATGTCTTTTTGTTTATTACCGTGTAACTTTTGAACCACTGCACGGAATCGCACGAAACTTTGCACACTTATTTGTTTTTACCCCGGGAAGGTTATAGGTATGGTTTTGCTTGCAATTATGGTGTCAATTTTGCGAGGGGCGTGACACCTCCCATAGGCCTGCACATTTTTAATCAGCTATAACTTCGGAACCATAAGTCACATGAACTTAAAATTTGGTATGCATACAAATCCATGGTAGATGCTTATAGTAAGGTATATACAAATGACATTGTAGGAGGGGGCGTGGCATATCTCATAGTCGTAGAATTTTTAATCATAATAAAATTGAAATTTGGTATGCAAACATATCAATGGTAGGTGCTTATAGTAAGGTTTATAATATAGGCGTGGAATTTTTTATCAGCCATAACTTCGGAACCACAAGTCACATGACTCCTTTACTTCCTTCTGATATGCCTTTCGACCTCAGTGTCCAGTTCGCTTAGCTTTTGCAATGACAATAAACAATAATGCCTTAAAGAAAAACCCGAAACTTTATCGAAAATAAAATGTATGATAATTGTATTGGAAAATGCTGTGAAATCATATTAGAGTTATTATTCGTAAGAAATTAGATAGTATTTCTTCTATTATATAATTTATTGGAGATGGTTGGTTGGTTGGTTGGTTTAAGTGAATTGTCCCTCAGGTGACAAGCAATTAGCAAGTTTGCCATTTTGATTCCACAACTCGTGCAACCTACAGCCATTTGGCGGCTTTAATAAATTTCTGTACGTCATACAGAGAGAGGCAGCTGCACTCTGAAATATTCTGCAGGAATGGTTAGCCGAGTGTCTTTAGCCTCATCCTTGCGAGGTCTGGACTCTCGCACAGGAAGTGTTCGACTGTCTCTTTTGAGCCCGGGTCATCGCAGCTGCGACAGAACCTATTGAAGGGCAGTCCTATCCATTCGGCATGTACCCCAACGGGCCAGTGCCCTGTGCGCACTGCAGTAAGTTTGTAGGCATTTGTTTTGCTCATTCCTAAGAGAGCTTTGGTTTTGAGTGAGTCGTAAGACACCCAGAACTGCCGGGTAATTCTGTAGGATCCTGTGCAGTTCCACCTCTGCCTGGCCTTCTAATGATAAATTTCGCGAATTTTTGTCTTAATCTCCCTGAGCGAGGCGCCCACGTCCACCGTGTGGGACACATCCAGTGCGGAGCCGCTCGTATTGATCAGAAATATAGGCCAGCTCTCTCCTATATTCATCCACTAGCTGAGATCTAACAGAGTTAGAGGAAAGTGCCTGAATAACCGCTTGGCTATCCGAGAGGATGTTCACTTGCGTTCTCGTGGGTACATTGTCTTTGATGTACCTTACTGCCTCCTTAATAGCAAACGTTTCGGCCTGGAAAACGCCTGCATAGTCTGGTAGGCGGAAGGATAATTTTAGGTTATATTGCTCAATGAATACCCCAGCACCAACACCGCATTCCATCTTTGACCCATCCGTAAAGACGGTTAAGCCCTGCAAGTACCCGAAATCTTCCTGGTTCCAGTCACTGCGGCTTGCGAATTTCGTGCGGGGTTTATGGTGAACCCAGGTCTTCGACAGGATATAGTCAATGGGCAGCGCTTTAATTTCAGACGGTATTGCGTGTATGATGGAACCGTGCCCGAACGGTCTTTCCTTCCAGAGCCCCAGGGCACGCAGTCTGATGGCGCTATTAGCAGCTGAATTCTCTATGAAGATATCTATAGGTAATAAGTCAAGAAGGACGTTCAAAACGTCCTTCGGACAAGATCTCATTGCGCCTGTTACGCTAGCGGCTGTTGACCTTTGAATTCCGCCTATCTTTTTATCTATGTAATCCTTAGTAAGGGCTGGCCACCAAACCAGCGCCCCATAAGAGATTATGGGTCGGACTATAGCTGTGTACATCCAGTGCAGAATTCTTGGTTTCAAACCCCACCTGTTGCCCAACATTCTCTTGGCTGCATAGATAGCCACCGTGGCCTTAGCACGCTCCTCAATGTTTGGTTTGCAGTTAAGTTTGGGATCCAAAATAACACCAAGGTATTTCACCTTCTTTGACAGATCCAGTTCCGTTTATCGGAACCTTGGTTTATAAAAATTTGGTAATTTTGTTTTATTTGTGAAAAGCATAAGGTGAGTTTTCTCCGGGTTTACGCTAAGAGAACAGCTTATGGCCCAGAAATCTACTATCTTTAAAGTCCTTTCCATAATTTCACTTATGACCGAAGGAATTTCGATACCAGTATCGTTACATCATCGGCGTAAGCCACCGCTTTGATTCTCTGAGAGTCCAGCTTTACCAGTAGTTTGTTTAAGACCATGAGCCATAGTAACGGTGATAGCACTCCTCTCTGTGGGGTGCCTCTCACTACATATACGGCCCTGCTTTGGTACCACAATTGGGCATGTATTACTCTGCTCCTTAGCAGAGACACTATCCATGCCCGGACACAGTGATCAATCCCTGTTTCCATAAGTGCCTCATGGATGGAATCTACACTGACATTATTAAAGGCCCCCTCGATGTCTATAAAGGACGCCATTCTAAATTGTTTATAGTAAAGCGAACTCTCAATTGCACGTACCACTTCATGTAGGGCAGTCTCCGTTGACTTCCCTTTCAAGTACGCATGTTGAGATCATGATAAATTGGACGTCTTGTCCCTAACATACAGATCCAACAGCCTCTCAAACGTCTTGAGCACGAAGGGCGTTTGGCTTATTGGTCGGAAATCTTTAGCATTGTCATGGCCCCGTTTAACCGCTTTAGGAATAAAAGTTACCTTAATCTTCCTCCAGCTTAACGGAACGTGGTTCAGTATTAGGCACCCTCTAAAAATTGTTTCTAGGACTGGAATGACCATCTCAGAAGCTTTCTGAAGCATGACTGGTAGTATTCCGTCCATACCCGGTGATTTATAGGGTGAGAAGCCGAAGATAGCAAATATTATCTTTTCCCTCTCTAGTAGCTCCTCTAAGAGGTCCTCGGAGAGGGTTGGTATATGGTCTGGGGCATCGATTTTGCACCATAGAAAATGTGTATTCAGAAGGATATCCAGCAACTCCCCAGCCGACTCGGTCCATGAACCATCTGACCTTTTTTTATATGTTGGCTGCGAGTGCCCTTTGGCAAGGATTTTTCTTAATCTCGCAGTTTCCTTGGTATCCTCGATGGATTCGCAAAATTCCTTCCAGGACGCCTCCTTGGCGTCCCGTATCGCTTTTTTGTGTTTCTTTAGGTTCTCTCTGTATAGGTCCCATACCTGAATCCTGTAGCATTCGTTGAAGGATTTTCTTACCTGCTTCCGTAGCGCTGTAAGGTGCGCGCGCTTTCTTGCCATACCTCAGCGGACAAGCCTTCGTAAGGGCCTTTTCGAAGTCCGTATTCAGGCTGTCCGCTCTGGCGTCCAGCTCGCCCCTTATAGGAATGTCTTCAACTGGTAGCTTCTTAAATTCTTTTCCAATAACCTTTTGAAAGACTCCCACTTTATAGAACAGAGGTAGACAAAAAAAATATGTTTTATAAAGGTTTAAAGTGTTTTAATGAGTTACCGCCTCATGTAAAAGACTGTGATAACTTTGTTGCTTTTAAAAGACAACTATTTGATCACTGTAAAACTCTGGCTCTTAGGTAGGAGAGCACGGAACGGAATGGAAACCAGGCCTTTCCATCCGACCAAGCAGCAAATGATCTAGCATACGAAAGCTTCCGACTATGCCCAACCGCCCGACCATAACGCGGAGCGGAAACTAGACCTTTCCGCCCGCCTCACATCACGGAATCCAGCGTCAGGGTTTGCATATTAATGACGACGGGAACATGGATCGGAGACTCGGCCTTTCCGACCGTGACTATCAACTCGTGAGCAACGCGGAGCGGAAACAAGGTCTTTCCGCCTGCTGCACATAGTACATATTTAAAGGTAGACTGGAGACTAGGCCTCGCCAGCTACCAAACTAGTTAGACAATATACATTTATATAGGTTATTTGATAGTTTTAGAAACATAAACAGCTTTGTAATTGAAAATTTAAACTTACATATACGCATACTTTGTTATATATTAAAAATACCTATCTGTACTTTTAAGTCGCAAGACTGTAACAAATAAAAAAATAAAATAAAAAAACAAGTCCCAATCGAGGGTTTCTAAAGGGAGTAGGCGTATCCGCCGCCATATCTAGCTCAAAGAGTATTCGACGGTGGTCCGAGAGGGTCTCTTCGTCGGATACTCTCCATTTATTGACCTTTAGGCTCCCCTCGGTCAGCAGAGTTAGGTCTAGAACCTCTTCCCAACCGCAAAAATCAGGGGTACTAGGAAATATGAAGGTGGGAGTACTACCTCTATTACAAATCCTAAACGTAGAATCAATAATAAATTGAAATAGCGACTCACCTCTTTCGTTGGTTGCCCCATAATGTGTATGTCGTGAATTGGCATCGCAGCCGAGTAACACTAGACTAGCTCCTGCTAGCCTTTGTAAAGTGACGACTTCCTGTGGCGGACACGGCCTGTCGTGCGTCATGTATACGGATGATATAAGACAGCTTTGTTTATTCATCAACTCCAAGTTGACGACTGTAGTATCCAGTGAGCTGAAATTGGTACATAAGAAAGCTTTTATATGTTTTTTAACCAATACACACGCGCGTGGTTTACCTGATATACTAGTGTAGAAGAAGTTATAGCGGGCGTCGGTGAGTCCCTTAACCTCTAGGTCCCTTACCCAAGGTTCCTGTATCAACGAGATGTCGATGTCTTCCTGCCTTAGGAAGACCAGGCGCTTGTCCGAGGCAGCCTTAGAGTGCCTAAGATTTGCCTGGACCACCTACATCGACTTTCTCGCCATTATTAACTGGCCCTGTACCTGCCAGCACCTGGTTGGCACCGTCAGCGACCTCTTCGTTCGCGCTAACCTTGAGGTTCATATCGCTCAACATCTGGTTGGCATCCTCGATATCAGCCTCTGGAATCGGCTCATTGGAGCGGAATATTTTTAGTTTCGCTGTTCTCACCCCGAAGAGCAGCTTATTGCCCATTTTTTTCAATGGCTCAATACTTTCTTCATTAAGGTTGCAAACAGAGTGGAAGCGAAGCCGAAGCCGAAGACGAAGATGAAGCCGAAGACGAAAAACAGTGCAGTAGTAAACATATGAAAGTGATCACAGTGCAAGCGAAGACGAAGACGAAGATGAAGACGTTGCGCAAGCGGTCAGCTTGAAACAGTGCGGTACTGTTTTCAAACACGACTCGCTTGCTGTGATGAGTTGTTTACAATTTATTTAACTGTTTGCAATTGTGAAAAAACGCGTTTTTCAAGAAATTGGCTCAATTTTTGGCAAAATGTAATCAAACGTATTAATTGGCATTCTTGTATATTCGAAAAATGTCTGTCCGTCTTGCCGTAACACATAATACAAGTGGCGAAATTCTCCAAAAGTTGTCCTATACAAATTATTTCACGAATTGCTGTTTTTTCTTTATTTTCTTTTGATTTTATCTAAAAAAAAAGGGTTTTATTTAGAAACAAATCTTCATATCATTCATCTTCCACTATGTACACTCGCCAGCTTGCCCGCAACGCAAGCAAGTCGTCTTCGGCTTCGTCTTCATGTTGTTGTTGTAGCGGCTACTAAGCCCCGTTCGGGGCGGTTCATCCATCAACGTTGTCGTCTATTTCAGCTAGGGGGAGGCCCAGGAAGTGTGCTACTCCCCTGGAAGGGACAGGGGCGTTAGCTGAGTGGGATTCTCAGGGCATGTGAAGAGGTGCCGGGAGTCATGTGGCGACTCTCCACATGCCGGGCATTGGTTGGGCACATCCTCGTTGATTCTGCTCAGGTAGCTGTTGAGCCTGCTGCAATAGCCAGAGCGAAGTTGGGCTATTGTGGTGCGGGTCTGTCCCGTCTACGTCCGATGGTTGTGTGCCTAGAACGGTATTCACAGGGCGGGAGTCTACATAACTTGAGACTGATTCCCTGTGAATGCCGTTCAGGGCCTGTCGGTAGGTTGTCGGGTCTAGAGGTTGTTTAATATACCTCTGGACTTTGTCTGTCAGTTCGCAAAGATGCCTCCTGACGTGCCGTGGCGAGGACTCTTCCGCGAGCAGTTGCCCGCTGGGATGACCACGTCTGTGGCTCCCAGCGAGGAACTGCTTGCAGAGCATTATGTTATGCTCCTTTACTGGGAGCATCTGGGCCTCGTCGTGAAGGTG